GCGGCCCTCGCTCTAGCCCGCTACCATGGCGACCTCCATCCTCTGAGCACCCTCACCAACCAGCTCTCTCTACTCATCGCTTGTAACCATGCTGCCTTCCCAGCACCAAGCTGCATTGCACATCCAATACAACATGGTCTGAAAAATGGCAGATGAAATTCAACGTGGACAAATGTAAAGTACTCAGTATAGGAGATGTAAACAGGGAAACCAGATACCAGATGAACAACGATGCCATAGAGAAATCCGACTGCGAGAGAGATTTAGGAGTAATGATAAGCAGGAACCTTAAGCCAAGTAAACAATGTGTTTTTGCTCGTAACAAGGCTAATAAAGTACTTGGGTTCATACAAAGGAGTGTTAGTTACAAGACTAGCGAGGTCATCCTAAAACTGTATCTTGCTCTTGTGAGACCACACCTGGATTACGCAGTTCAGTTCTGGTCACCGTATTACAGAATGGATATAGAATCCTTGGAAAGAATTCAGAGGAGAATGACAAGACTAATCCCGGGCATTAGGAACATTGAGTATAGAGACAGGTTAAAGCATCTTAAATTGCACTCCCTCGAGAGAAGTAGAGCGAGGGCGACCTGATAGAGGTGTACAAGTGGAAGGCAGGGCTAAACAAAGGGGCCATTACAAAGGTACTCAAACTATCCAACCAGGAGCAAACTCGTAACAATGGTTTTAAATTAGACAAATTTAGATTTAGGTGGGAAATAGGTAAACACTGGTTTAGAAACAGAGTAGTGGATGAATGGAACAAGTTACCAAATATCATCATTAACTCGAATATGCTGAATAGCTTCAAACATGGGTTGGATGCTTATATGAGCAATAGGGGTTGGGTGTAAACGGGACTGCCCAGTATGGGCCAATAGGCCCGCTGCAGTTTCCTCCATTCTTATGTTCTTATACAGAGAGCACACTGTGAGTTTCCTTTCTCCATCCCATCCTGAGTGCGAACCAATATCTCGAAACCCCACAAATGGTGACCCCCGAAGATTCGCACTCACACAGGATGGAGAAGAAACTGATCACGCTCCCAGTCTTCAAGCAACATGGAAGACTGGCTTATCCACACAGAGGCAGCTCTCATTGGCTCTACAACTACTGTCTCTACACCGCAGGTTAGACACCCTAGAGCAGCTCTGCTTCTCTAAGCAGACACCAGCTCCTCTTCCTGCCCCAAGCACCACGTCCTACTGACCCCAACACACCGTCCTGCCTCAGACGCCGCCCCCGGCCCAACAGTACCCCCTGCCACTGTCCTGGACCCTCCTCCGCTCCTGCCTGGCAGCCCCTGCTCCCGACGCGGCCCATGCGCCTGAGCGGCCCCACACACCCTTTTTTTCTCCTTCAGGTACTCCCTGCTACTGTCCTGCACCCTGCTGCTGTCGTGGACCCTGCTGCTGTCATGCACCCTGCTACTGTCATGGACCCTCTTCCTGATGCAGCCCCTGCTCCTGACCCAGACCCACATACCCCAGCAGGTGCATCTGAGGACTCTGTACCTGCCGCGAGGGAAGCACAACATTCATCGCCTCCACAACCCTCCTTCTCCCTCTCTTCTCCCACAGATCTCGTGTATCTAGACAGTTGTCTCCCCTAGCGGCCGGCTCATCCACGCCCTCGCCGTTATGTCTCACATATGGCATACAGCCCTGCCGACAACAAGTCTCCTGCACCGCCCGTTATGCCTCACATGTGGAATGCAACCCTGCAGACAACAAGTCTCCTACACAGCCTGGAGGGAAGGGGGAGTATTGTAGTGGATTCCTCCCCTACAAACACCGTTTGTAGCTGACTAGCCGTTCCTCGATTTCACCAGCCTGCCCTCGTCGTCTGGGTCAGCAACCAGCGCCGCTTTACACGACTGAGGTCAACTATTAAGTAACGCCTACCCCCGTCATATAAGACCTCACCTCGTGGTGACCTACCTCTTTCTACCCACAGCTACCAGCAAGCAACACCTCCTCCTCCTCTCTCGCCTGGCGGCTCCCGCTCCAGCCGGCTGCTATGGCGACCCTCAAGCTGGTCATCCTCTGAGTACCCTCAGCTCTCTCTACTCAACGCTTGTAACCATGCTGCCTTCCCAGCACCAAGCTGCATTGTACATCCAATACAACATGTATACAGAGAGCACACTGTGAGTTTCCTTTCTCCATCCCATCCTGAGTGTGAACCAATATCTCGAAACCCCACAACATAACAATCAAGGATAACATCACAATTTAAGGATTTATATAAAATTTTCATATTTTGCTGATCTCAGCAGTCCATGCCTACTTTCTCAAGTCCATACAGTCCGGACCACTCTCTTACATTTCAGAGGAATAACTAAACTAATTTTGTTACAGAATTCTATATCACATAATAACATATGTTTTCAAACAACAGAAAATTCAGTTTTGATACTGAATTAAGTGTACATGCAAAAGATAAATATACCAAATTTTAGTACCATGTTAAAAACTGTGGGATTCTCAATGGGGGAGCACTTTTCAGGTGGATATATATATATATATATATATATATATATATATATATATATATATATATATATATATATATATATATATATATATATTCCAGCAGAGAGTTAATTTATGACTTAATTACAGACTTGGAATATTAACATACTAGTGAGGCTCACCGATGGTATAAGGATTTTTTTATCTAAGTTGTAAATAATAGAATATTTAAGAGTGAAATAGTATAAAACAAACTATTTATGTATGTACAATACAACTTGTTTGTCGCACGGTATCCGGTCCCCAACAACGAGCTCAGGTAGTTTACAGGTGGCTGGGTTCCGGTCATGTGTATGGTTTTGGTGCACTGAAGTCCTGGGTAAATGCCGGTAGTGGCTCTTATCTCGCGTTAATACGGTATATTTATTCACTTTAGTCATTCTTGAGACTAGTTGTATATGCTGAACATTTTGTTATCTCCTCGGGGATAAAATATACAACAAATTAGTTTTCAGTAATATTCAGCCATATATCACACTGTATTTATCCAGCTTCAATTGTTAAAGTGATTAGAGGGCTCAAATGCAATCATGTGGATGGTGAGCCGGTCATCAGCAGTCTGAACAAGCCAGAAGTACCACAGAAGCAACGGTGTCTGAAATAGTTCTTCGTGAAATTCTTTAGCCCAAAAATCCACTTGACAAGGTAACTAACACTTCCCTGTGTTGTGTTGGTCTCAATCTATGACTTGTTGTACTGTATTCTCTTTTACACATTTAATTAGATATGACAGGAATATCACAAAATGAGAATAATCAGAAAAAGTAAAATTATATATTCAATCATTTGTTCTTACTAAATATCTGGGATCGCGTCTCCTTCATTATCCGCACTCGACGATGAGGTGGACAGCTACAAGACTGGCATTACGGTACGGTACGGTACGGTTGATATTTACTCAGAATGTACGGTACGGAATTACGGTACGATATTTTCCTTGAAGTACGGTACGGTACGATTTAAGTACGGAAAAATGAGCAAAATTCCGTACCGTACCGTACCCCAGGCTTAAAAACATGATCATGCAATTATTAACCCCTTGAGGATTGTGACGCATTTTGACAGTTTATTCTGGCTATCATTAGACACTGTTATGCAGCTTAGGAAGGATTTATGGGAATAATCAGTATACTGTAGACTAGCTGAATTAGCCATCTGTCTATTGTCTTTCATATACCCTTCCTAAATTGAATAAAATCATCTAATAATAGTCAGAAAAGAGAAAAGAAATGTGTCATCGATCTTCAAAGGGTTAATGCGTTGGTGGCTTCTGTGAGTGGACTTACGTGATCAGTACTGTCCGCCAGCTGGTAGTCTGGTACTGACCACGTTGCGTCACTATTCACGTATAACTTGAGAGTAGTGTCTCCAACTCTCCACATTCACTCCTTCCATCGCCGTCGGGAGGGAGCAGTCATCCAAGGCAGGCAGGCAGGGGCACTTTATCTAATATTGCACGTTATTGGTAAGATGACACATATTTTTGCTTCGTTGTAAATTAGGTATAATAAGAAATAAAGTTCCGTAATAAGGCAACAATATTATGTGGGCACATTTACATCTATAGTCACTTCGTAAATGTTCCTTTTCAAATCCACACATGTACTCTAATAAATTGTTCACAAATAGATAATTATTTTGATGTAAATATATTTTGCCGATGGTACGATAAAAGTACGGAATTACGGTACGGTATTTTTTCCGTACTGTACGGTACGGAAAAATAATTGGGGGTACGGTACGAAATTACGGTACGGTATTTTACCCAGGTACGGAGTACGTAAAAATATTCCGTACCGTACCGTACTACCAGCCGTACTTGCTGATATAACCAATCAAGACTTCAGCAAAAGATCAATTTTGTATTATCATTCCCTGTCACTCACATACAATCACCCCATTCCTCCTCACCCAAGGATGAACATAATGTCACTTGGGGTCCTAGTGTAAATCATCACCTTCACCCTTAAATTCAGTTTTATTCTTCTCAAAACTAACCTCCGTCCGTGTGGATTTTGTGACCCCCTTGAAATTCCGTTAGATTTAATCTATACTGCAGTGCTTCCTGTTTTCATTATTACAATTTAATTAAAACAAAATTCAGCTTTACTGTTTACCTTGGAGGAAATATATCAATACCTAAACTTTCTTAATACACATAAGACCAGAAGGAAGTACTTTTATTATACTATATACTACATGTAAGTTACTTCATCGAGTAAACCAGTATAAATGCCTAAAAACAAAACAAAAAACAATTGCACCATTATTATACGACTGACATTGTAATTCAACAATTCCTTAAAAGTTTAATTTTCTTCATAATATGTCGAGTTTTCAGAAACACGAGACAGCTCCTCGCTCATTTTGATGAAATACCTAAAAATATATAAGATTACTCCTTCTGCCAATATTTTACTTGTGATAAACTATCAATTTCCTTAATTTTCATTTTTTTTTTTAGATGTCTTACTGGGACAATCCTGCCAACATGGCCTCCAACGGCCTTCCCTCCACCAGCCCTTATGGGAACTACACAGTGGTCGACACTGTAACCAAAGAAATCCTCCATATGGTGGATCCTCATTGGTACCAGTTCCCTCCCATGAACCCCCTGTGGTACGGCCTGGTCGGTTTCTGGATGGTTGTTATGGGCACTCTGTCCGTCTTCGGCAACTTTGTCGTCATCTGGGTCTTCATGGCCACAAAGTCTCTCCGAAGCCCAGCTAACCTCCTCGTCGTCAACCTGGCTGTTTCTGACTTCCTCATGATGCTGACTATGTTCCCACCCATGGTCATCAATTGTTACTGGCAGACATGGATACTCAGTGCCATCTTCTGTGAACTGTACGCCTTCTTCGGTTCACTCTTCGGCTGTGTGTCTATCTGGACCATGCTGTGGATCACATATGACCGCTACAATGTCATTGTCAAGGGTGTCGCTGCTGAGCCTCTAAGCTCCAAGGGAGCCATGCTCAAAATTTTCTTCACTTGGACATTCGCCTTTGCCTGGTGCCTGCCTCCCTTCTTCGGCTGGAACCGCTACGTGCCTGAGGGCAACATGACTGCTTGCGGTACTGATTACCTCACTGAAGATGTCTTCTCCCACAGCTACCTCTACATCTACTCCGTGTGGGTTTACTTTGTTCCTCTCATCGTGATCGTGTACAGCTACACATTCATCGTCAAGGCTGTCGCTACTCATGAAAACCAGATGCGTGAACAGGCTAAGAAGATGGGTGTCAAGTCTCTCAGGAGTGAGGAAGCACAGAATGTGAGGGTAGTCAAACATGTAATAATTTTCTTTCAACTATACTTAATATTAATATATACAAACCAACACAAAAAGTTATATACAAAGTTAAAATAATAAATCACTGATAAAAGAGAAAAAAAAAGTGCGTTCAATGTGATAACTGAAAAATGGGAGAAAAGTATGAACACTGTAAACACTTATAAAAAGGGAAAAATTTATATGAATACTGTGATGGCCTCGGGTGGATGAAACGAACATTAACAATTTGGCAAGAATCGTTGGCCAAGGAGAATAAGTGTGTTCTATTATGTAAAATAATCATTGGGAAGGTTCACAAGTAGGACAAACAATTGTTACATTAAGCCTGATGTGTCCTTAGACCTAAGAGAATAAATACACATGAGGACTTTCCGTAAGTTAGCTTGCCGTGATGAAAGGATATGAGCTGGAGAGGTCCACCGCAGGTTGACACAATAAAGTAAGGAAGAGCCAACTCAAATTCTGCAGAATTTCTGAACTCCTGAGCCTGAGCCTGAGCCTGGCAACGGCTTTTATATTATTTCGTATTGGGCGGATATTGTGGAGGCGGGACTTACTATTCTAAAATGTGATTGGTTACTGCGGCGGCATCAGCTGATGTTCTGGGAACAACTTGCAGCATAAGATAGATGGTGCCGACTATTGCTGTTCTGTCACGCCAGGACTTGAAGAGATTTTTAATTACGTGATAAGTGTTACCTTAATATTGGCGTGAACCATTTATTGTGAACACTGTATTTTTTATAACGTTTCCACACGAACAATGCTCTTCACAGTCCAGAAAAGCAAATTTTTTAGACACTTGTCCTATTAAAAATAAATCCAAATAATAAAACCGCAAATTTATACATGTGTGTGTGTGTGTGTGTGTGTGTGTGTGTGTGTGTGTATGCAGTTTGTTGTTATATATTAAACTAAAAAGTCTAGTGAGACTGAAAGACCAACGTTGAATAAGAGTGTCACAAATCCATGTGCCACATCTAGAATTCAGAAAATCGCTCGCGTAACCCGTATCATACCTTAATTAGATTAGGTACACACTAATTCATTTTGCAAAAAGAGAATTTATTCGATGACTCTTAAGGCGCTGTATTGCCCAACTAAAATGTGACTGTGTGTCAGACTGTCTTGGGATACACCGCGCTATGCCCACAGGGATGCCGACACATTATACATGAACACCAGTCTCTAGCACAACATGAAGATCTTGACCATGGCAGCAATGACAATAACATCGTTACTAAGTAACATATTGAAGATTATATGATACGACAGCTACAGTAGCATTGTTGGTCAACATGGAAATAAAGTTAGCAGTAACGGCAACAGTAGCATTACTGGTAAACACCATAATGATGCAATGACGATGTCATCACCAACAACGTTACTGATGATCATTATAATTACCATACTGAAGATGAGAGCAATGGCAACAATAGTGTTATTAACCTGGATGACTGCCAGGTTAAGTATTTTCACTGCTGGAAACAAACGAAATAAACAATCAACTGAGGGTCAAGAAGAACATAAATGTTAAGTTCCATGAACATATAATTTCTTAATAAGACTTCTAATGAGGGCATATATTGAATCAACCAGAAGCCATAATGCAGAACCAGTATGCATAATACCCTAAAAGGCCATACCGCACACGGGATTACTTAAAAAATTCAAGCACACCTTATATCTGTGGACAAATTCTCACCTTACAAATTTTTGTGACCAGATATTTCAGCCCTATGGTAAGGAAAAATAAATTATAATTATAAAGTTTAGAATTCATATGTGCCAATCATCAGTCCGCTGTAAATGAACTTGGGTTTTGACAACATCTAAAAAAGCAATAGAGACGATTTTACCACTCAGGTAGTAACTTCACCCGACTACAAAAAAAGGGGAGGTCTGGTCAGAACGAAACCATACATGCTCGGTTGTGCTGACGTAAGTACGCGGAAATAACCAATTCCAATTTCATTATTCAGTTACTAGGCTTTGTGCAGTCATGTGGAAACTGTCAGGAGTACAAAAGTTATGGGTGCCAGGCCAGTGACAGCCAGTTAGCACAAGCCAGCTGTATCACAGGAACCATCCGTGTCTGAAGTAGTTCTTCCAGAAATTCTTCAGACTCCAAATCCATTGACAAGGTGAGCTACATTTCCTGACATGAACCTCTTGATATATATGGTAGAAAGAACTTATTCTTCTTTCTTCACCTTATCAAATGTCTATATACCTGCACGACATTGTTCATTTTCAGCATTGCTATATTGAAATAAGTCTATAAAAAGTCCCCTTTAAAAATAATTTATCAAATTTTACTTACAATAAGTGTCACATATTTTGTCAACATCCCTTACAAATTCAATGCCTTTGTTTATTTAGTGTGTGTATGCCAGTATAAAATACATATATAATAGTAACAGTTCAAGATGGCATCAAATCCTAGAGTCTCCTTGTGTGTTAGGTAAGTATAAATGCCACCATCTTGTCCTTCACCCAGGAAGACTAGGGTTCGAATGCTCCTGTGAACTGTAGAAACAATGTACGTCTATTGTCTCTGTCGATATACACCATATGAGGTACACGTACGTACCTCACAGACATTCATATATACAAATCTTTTCTTACATAATGCAGTAATAAAATAAATACCCCCCCCCCCCACACACACACGCATCATATAGCCACAAACTTCCACGCTTAAGTTAAATAACCTTTTATAAAAGTCTCCTTCGGTTTAAACGTCTGTTATCTTTTTTTATTTAGTGAATTTGTTTACATTTGTGATATTTGCGTCTATCAGCAACAGTCAACGAATCTGCCATTTCCCACCATTTTGTCATCTATCGTCTAAAAGTTATTTTATTAACAATTTTGACAGATTATTTCATTAATATTATTGACAAAGTCCCTATACAGTAGTTCATTTATTTTTACTGTAATTTGATGTTCGTGTTTTTGTTATTATCACTCACATTTCTCGTGTGTATATAAGTCTAATCATTATTTTACAGATGTTTCGCTTATTTCTACACCACATCATTGCCCCCCACCCCCAAAAATCTCCAGATCCATTAATCATCTCCAAGTCGTACTTCTTTCCAGAATCAACTCTAAATATACTAATTTAACCTCTTTATCAACGAACTGTAATTTACTTTCATATTGTATGAATAATTTCTGATTATCTTCCTCCCTTTCTACTGTACTTGGGTTTACTCACTACAAAAAGCATTCACATAATTATTTATTACTTCTAGATGTCTTACTGGGACAATCCGGCCAACATGGTCTCCAACAGCCTTCCCTCCACCAACCCTTATGGGAACTACACAGTGGTCGACACTGTACCCAAAGAAATCCTCCATATGGTGGATCCTCATTGGTACCAGTTCCCTCCCATGAACCCCCTGTGGTACGGCCTGGTCGGTTTCTGGATGGTTGTTATGGGCACTCTGTCCGTCTTCGGCAACTTTGTTGTCATCTGGGTCTTCATGGCCACAAAGTCTCTCCGAAGCCCAGCTAACCTCCTCGTCGTCAACCTGGCTGTTTCTGACTTCCTCATGATGCTGACTATGTTCCCACCCATGGTCATCAATTGTTACTGGCAGACATGGATACTCAGTGCCACCTTCTGTGAACTGTACGCCTTCTTCGGTTCACTCTTCGGCTGTGTGTCTATCTGGACCATGCTGTGGATCACATATGACCGCTACAATGTCATTGTCAAGGGTGTCGCTGCTGAGCCTCTAAACTCCAAGGGAGCCATGCTCAGGATTTTCTTCACTTGGACATTCGCCTTTGCCTGGTGCCTGCCTCCCTTCTTCGGCTGGAACCGCTACGTGCCTGAGGGCAACATGACTGCTTGCGGTACTGATTACCTCACTGAAGATGTCTTCTCCCACAGCTACCTCTACATCTACTCCGTGTGGGTTTACTTTGTTCCTCTCATCGTGATCGTGTACAGCTACACCTTCATCGTCAAGGCTGTCGCTGCTCATGAAAACCAGATGCGTGAACAGGCTAAGAAGATGGGTGTCAAGTCTCTCAGGAGTGAAGAAGCACAGAAGACCTCTGCTGAGTGCCGTCTGGCTAAGGTTGCTCTGATGACAGTGTCCCTGTGGTTCATGGCCTGGACCCCTTACCTCATCATCAACTACGCTGGCATGATCAACAAGTCCCACGTGACTCCTCTTTTCTCTATCTGGGGCTCCGTATTTGCCAAGGCCAACGCTGTCTACAACCCCATCGTTTACGCCATCAGCCATCCTAAGTACAGAGCTGCCCTGGAGAAGAAGCTGCCATTCTTGTCCTGCGCTACTGAAGGCCGCGACAGCCAATCAGACTGTGGTTCCACCGGAACTGCTACCGCTATCACCGAGAAGTCTGAGAGTGCTTAAAACACTCTCAGACATTCTGACAACATTGATCACAGGATAGATAACTTTATGTATCCCATAAATGTATGAACCATTTGAAATAACCTTGCATTGAAAATCTAGCTACAGATTTTTTTTTACCTATTCTTATTGAATTGAGGCGGTAGTCAAAACACCTCGCAGGTTACACAGATTTAGCATTTCTCACCAAGGTGAACCGTCAAGCTCATTCAATGGCAATGTGGCTGTCACTTAATAGTGTCTTCTTCACTGGAAGCTTAAGTATGGATGTTGGAAAAAAATATTAGGAAATATTTATAAAGAAGATTATGGCTTTATTTTACACCGTGATGGATGCCGATACTGAACATGAAAAACTGTGATTATTAATACAATAACAATTTTGGTTCTGTAGTTATGTTCTAATTTATAAATTCCCACAAATCCGACATCATTAAGAAAAGAACAATATTTTAATCAATGCCAGCCTAGGGAAAATAATTTTCTGCACAGGACCTACGTGTGTCACTATATACAAAATAATTGTTTAGTCATGTCAACAAAAAACCCCACTTGCCTACAGTCAACAAACAACACTAACACGTATATGAAGCCAACAAACAAGCCTCACTTGCCTACAGTCAACAAACAATCTTCACTACACATGACGTGGTTGAAGCCAACAAAAGTCATACTCGACTAAGCTCAACGAACTCAGATAAGGAACCACTCGTTTTCTTCGCTTCTAAAACACCGGGAAAGAACCTTTATATAAATATTTACATTAATTAAAACAATTTCCATGCAAATGGAGGATTTGTGTTTATATCAAAAGAAAACCATTCATATAGCAGAGAACCACCAAAGAAAACCATTCATATAGCAGAGAACCACCAAAGAAAGCCATTCATATAGCAGAGAACCACCAAAAACTAAGTCAAGTGTGTTTATAATAGGGGCTTGGAAGCTTGCTGAAAAGAATATTTTTGGGCGAGAGAAGCTAGTGCACTTGCTTATTAGACCTCATAAGAAATCACCCTTAGTAAGGTGACAGGCCAAATATTAACACATCTAGATCAGTCTAGACTGCACTAACAGTAGAAGAAAACGTGACAAATAGGAAATTGCGCAAAATAGCTGCGCCGTGTCACTGCTTGATTGAGAGTTGAACTCCAGCGTCCATTCCTTTCCAAAACCCTACATCAGGAAAAGCAGGGGGATGGAGCCAAAGGAAGGGCGGGATAAGTGCGTGCACTAGCTTCGCTCACTCACCAAAAATAGACTTTTCAGCAAGCTTCAAAACCCCTATTTTAGTGAGATGAGCTCTCTAGTGCACTTGTTAAATTCCACAGGAAGGAGGGTGCTTGGATGTAAGGGGAACAGTGAGCACACGCAGAACAATTTGAATTTTATTTATTCTAGACTAAGCTACATTACTATGGTTTTTTTTTTCTAGCGTACTGTCTGTGGGTCGAGGGGTGAGAGCCATTGCCACGCAGGGTGCGTTTGACACCTGGTAAGACAGGTTCTTGCTATTAAGCAGGAGGCCGATTTCCACTGACCTGCTTCCTGGACCTGTGAGAGGGAATGGGTCCTCCGGAAGGCCTGTGGGGACGTGAGGCCTTTCCAGGGTCAGCCTCCTCTATAACCTACCGCAATCTGTCTGCCAGTCCCCTGACTGACAGCGGGCAGCCCAACTGAGGAAGAACGAAGAGATGATGCTGGCCGGTGGTGTGATCGGCCGTAGCGGAGAGGTATTGGCGGAAGGTCACGACCAGGCAGAGTCGGTTCCATGCCTGAACCGCTACTGGCAGGAGCCTGTGGTTCTCCCGCTCATTTTTCGCCAAGGAGGTGGGAGAAGGTGCCAAGGGCACCGCAGAATCTCCTTGGGCGAAGGAAGTCCAGTGGCCGAACCTCGTGAGTGCCTTCAGCTGGGAGGACCTGAAGCCCGTGGCCAGCGCTACAAGGAATAGGGCCTTCTGTAGTAGGCGGTCCTTTAATGATCGGATGGTGAATGGATCCTGGGGTGAGACAGATATCAGATTAATCCATGTCAAGGTAAAAACCTTCATAGTAACAGGAACATAGGAAAAACAGACAACATAAGGCCAGTGGCCCTCAGGCTAGGTTGTCAGTATAGTTCACAAGACTGGAGGAGTAGTACTTACCGAGCCCAGAAGAGTGAGGACTTTATCCAAGGACCAGAAGGTACGGGGTGGTTTAGCAGGCGGTCGCTGGTGGAACAGGCCCCGCTTCAGCAGGGTAACCGACCTGTTGTTAACCTTCACCCCGCATCCGAGCCCACTTGTACTCCCCCTGCCCCACCCTAAATCAACCGAAAAAAAGCAGCCGCCACCCGTCCGAGAACACACATGAGTAGAGAGGAAGGAGGGACTAAAGACGCCTCTCCATGCCAAAAAACCCAAGTCAGACAACGAAACCGAGTAACGACTCGGCGCGTGGGCCTGTACGAGAGAAAAAACACAGATACAGAGTGGATAATAATAACAATATTAACATAGCTGAGCCAGTTGAGAACCTGAGTTCTCTTGTAGGGGGGGAGGGGAGAAAAAATCGGGTGGCAAAACCAAATCCTATCCGAGTAACTCGAAGAGGAGGAATGAGCACCAGCTCGGACACCACAGCACGTGGCTACAAGGTACAGTAAAAAGAGACAACCGCACTCGCACGAGGAGGGCCGCCCACGTGGGCAAAACAACCAACTAAGGGAAGCCCTTGGCGTGAAGCACCACACAAGAAAAAAAAAGGGGAGGGGGTTGGCCAAAACACGTAAACAGGGGGAAGCAAAAGCCAGAAAAATGGCCGAAGTCAGGAGCACTAACAAGCCAAACAATCCGAACCTAGAAAACCAACACTCCCCTCTCCTAATTAACTAAGAAAATAAAACATTCTGGGCCAATGCGGACGTAAAACAGCACAGATGGTGCGGAAGGACAGCAGACAAACCCTAATGCGAAGAAGCTGAAGCAGGAGAAGAGTCTGGAACATCATGATCTAATTACAGCGGTGGGCCGGAATGGACACGGGAGTTAACTCTTTTATGCAATTTCCTATTTGTCACGTTTTCTTCTACTGTTAGTGCAGCCTAGATGTGTTAATATTTGGCCTGTCACCTCCTCATGGTGATATCTTATGAGGTCTAATAAGCAAGTGTACTAGCGAGCTCATCTCACTAACATGTAAAACATTTATACATATGCCAATCTAATTAGGTAAGAGTTGTTCATATATTATGTATTCATCTGTTAAGTTCCAAAGGCAGTAACAAATGATATACCCCCCCAAAATATTGTCACATGAATACACATAGGAGAAAGAATGTAGATGTGTCTACCTCTCTGTAGCATTCATGCTAAGTTTCCGGAAGAACATTTCATTAAAAACTGTAGGATTTCACAGTGAGCAAGCCAACGTTGGGGAAGTAGTTCTCAGTACAACAGTCCATCTTAGTGTTGTGTGTCCTCATTCACATAAGGTTTCTCTGTGTTCCTCATTCCTTACTGCCTGTTCGTTCTATATATTTTTGCATTATTATATTCGTTATAATATTTCCATTACTTAATCTCAGTAATGGATACAGTATATATTATAAGGAGTAATCATCCATGGCAATAATGACTTCCTAGTTATCATACCGTCATATATATCTTTCAGTGGATATAAAGACAGAAGCTCTAAATCAAACCACCAGATGTGGAGAGTAGATGGAACAAAATCAACATATAACCCACAAGTTGGGGAAACTCTATAGAAAAACGACAAGGAACCGAATTTGGTTAAGTTTAATTGTACCGCGACAGATGAGAATATTCGACAGGAAGAGACTAGAAAAGATTCTACAAGATTCTAATGTACTTGATTGTTAAAATTTCCGTATCCTCAACCAATACAGAAAAAAAATAAGTGGATTACCATTAGGAATTTAATTTGAAGTGTACACATAATAAGTTATTAAAGAAAATGCGTCATTTGTTTAAAGTTTCACTCATCCATAGATACAATGTGTTTCAGGTTAGTTAAATGTAATATATGTTAACCTCACTGTGAATAAAAATCTGACTTTGACCACTTATTGTGTATGTGTTTATGTTCATCCATACCTTACTCGTATACATTTTCTAAAATATCCAGTTCATATTGTACTGCCAGTTCATTAAACTCTGTATATAAAGATATACTGTAAAATTACATTATATTGAATGTTAAAACAATTATAAGAGATTAACTCACTAAGGAATTGTCTTTGAAATTAACTCCACTGCAAAGACATCACAATCATGCTAGTGTAATTATCATAAGATTGACGAGTCTTTGCAACACACTCGTAGCTTTACTGTTTGTACTAGATTGCACGCCTGTGTCTCAAGTCATAATTTATAGAACATCACTCGTACGAAATCTTGACACAATGGTACTAGTCGTTCTTCTCATTGGTACTTTACCTTGAAGAATATATGCAGGGAAAGTAGTACTATGGGACGATACTTGCATGGTTTCATGGAAGCGGAAAAAATGAAAAGGAATAAGAGATTCCCAACATGATTCGATTATAAGACTTAGTGACGTCACAGGTAAGCTATGAGGAGTACAGAGGACACATAGCAGGTATCTCAGGTGTTTGAAGTAGTTCATGAAATTCTTCAGCCCTAAAATCTATTGACACGGTGAGTTACATCTACTGATACTACAGAAAATAAAGTTCTTGAAATGAACCAGAAGTAGCTTTATGCAGTGCACCCCTGAGACACTGCTGAGCAAACTTAAAATTGAGTTAGGTCTTTTGTGCCATTCTTAACACAAACTTAACATCGATTTTTGTCTTTCTTGTTTTCTTCTATCAAACAAGTTTATTCATATTGTTGTGTTAATATTTTCTCTGGATATTATTGACCTCAAATAAAATCATATCTCTCTTTTTAAGTTCATTCCTTTTGTGTTTTATTATCGCATTATAAATAAATCAGTTTTATTTTTTATTGACCTTCGTCCTCAACTTACAAACACATTAAAAAGATGTCCTCCATACTTCATTCTACAGTATGACTTTTTAAAGAACCTATGAATTACTCTCATACGCATGACTGATATTTTTCTAAATCTGTACAGCAATTAAAATCAGTATATTATTTAAAAAAATAATCCTGTATCTTCCCCAGTTTTAGTTTTATTCCATTCCTCATCCACACTAATAAATAGAATGTAGTGCTTGACCATCATTAATTCTTCAGTGTCCTTCCTTTTTCTATTCACAATTTCTTACTGTTCACTCCTTGAATTTATTTAAAAACTGCAGCAATATTGTTTTCCTTTTATCGGAAATTAT